GCTGAAGGGAAGTGGGTGTGGATGCTGCAGCTTGGCTGCTTACCTGCACACTTGAAGCTCTGCACCGTGAGCCCTCTCTCCAAAGACAGCGTGGTGAGGATGCTCAGGAAGCTGGTGGTCACAGACTGCCTCTTGCTCTTTCTAAGGTCCTTCCCAAAGGGCCTGTCTCCAGGTTTGTTCCTGAGCGTGACCTGGGGGTTCTGAGTTAAACTCCTAGTAGCATTGGCTGCCGCTCTCAGTGCCTCCATCCACTCCTGGGCCCTCTGACGAGTCTCTGCACGTAGTCGGAGGACATCTTGAGGAAAAATGACCTGAAAGCAAGAGTCACAGCCATCCTGAGTATCTGTCTGCACTGACAGGCACACATCAACATTGTAGCTCAGCAGAGGATCTTCATCAAGCCTACCCGGTTGGAATGCCATGAGATAAGACCTGTTCAAGATGAAAGTAAATGCCTTCCAGTTATTCTGGACAGTTAACCTATAAAGAGTCCCTGATTTAAGAATATTTTGGTACTCTTTAGTGTTTTCAGTCAAATTCATGGACAGGAAAAACTCGACGGGCTTCTCTAACAATCCATTGGTTTGGGAGAGGTCACTGTTCCTTTCAGGCTTCGGCACGTTCTCCAGTTTCTCCTGCTGCCTGGTGAAGGTGGGCGCAGAGGCTCGCACCGCTTCCCACAGCTTCTGCCCCCAGTCCAGAGCCTCCCAGGCAGACTCTGCCTTCAGCTGGAGCTGCGAGTTGTCGGTCAGGACAGCATCCACCACCTTGGTCTCAACACAGCCAGTGACAGTGACCCTTTGGAAGTGCAGGAGCGGGTACACGGTGGGAAGAGTCTGGTTGCCACTGCTGTCCAGGCAGTACAGGTACAGTTTGTAGGGCGAGAGCTCGGCGTAACAAGTTTGCCAGAAGCTGTCGCTGCCTCTTCTAATTTCTACGTATCCCTTCTTCAGAATATTGGGGAACATTGGCTTGTGTTCTGGAGGAAACAAAATGAGAACACTACCATTAATTCTTTTTAAATGATGGTTTCAAATTGCTACGTCATTCTGGCTTATACTGCTCTCCTACCCATACATGATCTATCTGGAGGGTATGACCACAGAAACAGCATTCACCCAACAGGTTATAACTATCAAACAAGCACAGGTTCTATGTTTGAGCCAACGAGAACACAGCACCTTTTCACCCAGAGGTACCAGAAGACCTTACAAGAAGGGGACAGGGAAACAGACAGAGAAACAATGCAGTTTTCCCAGGGTTACCCAGGAGAATAGTGACAGAGCAACAAAGCACTGCAAGTCTCACAGAACCTAGTCCAGAAGAGTACAACATTAGCACGTAATCTATTGCCAACAATAGATTTTGACAATGAGAGATGTGTACAAATTAAAACAGCACCTTCCCCTCCTGCCTCCCTCTTCCATGAAGGCTCAACTTCATGCTTTCCTAGTCCAGAAGAGTACAACATTAGCATGTAATCTATTACTTTAAAAATATTACTATTAAAAATAAAGGTAGATTTTGACAATGAGAGACGTGTACAAATTAAAACACCACATTCCCCTCCTGCCTCCCTCTTTCATGAAGGCTCAACTTCATGCTTCCACACACATCCCCAGCTACTTCCTCCTGCCCCGATGCCTGCAGCACCTCCTCCTCTGATGCTGGGCTGCTCCTCACACTTATCTCCTCACTGCTCACACCATCATGTGGTGCTTTGCCCTCTCTGAAGGAGACCCTGCTGGGAGACCCCACCTGCAGCTGCTGGGCACAGCTGTGGGACCCACTGGGACCAGACAGAACCGTGCCACTGTCAGCATCTGGGCACCCTGGGCTTACCCAGGGCACAGGGAATGGAGACCTGAGCCCCAGGGGTCCTGACCATGTTCTGGCATCAGCCACCATGAGAACATTCTGCACAGCTCTGTTTACGAGAAAGGAGCTTTGCTCATTTCTGAGAATCAGCCTCAGGACCAGCAGGCGTGACCAAGAATGAAAAGGAAGAGGCTGCCCAGACACAAACACGTGTATCTAAGCACCTCAGCACTTCAGGTGTTTTGGGACAGACCCCTGCACAAACCTAGGCCCAAGGGGAAGATGAAGGTAATTTTCTTTGTCTCCAGAAAACCGGCCATACACGAGTCACCCCAGGCACCGAAGTGATACGACTTTAAAGAGAGTTCCTTGAAGTATTTTTGAGTCTTAAGACAGGTTTCCATGTAAATTCTCTTCCAAGCTGATTTGTAACACTTCAGCCACCACTAATAAATGTAAATGTCATATTTTCACCTTTACAACAATTTTTGTTGGTCCCTGTATAAATTCAGTGGTGTTCACTGTTACACCCTAACACCTGGCACCCCAAAACAACCCAGCCCTAAGGAACAAATTCTTGCTCCCATTTGACTTACACTCCACTATTCCAGTGAGGGTACTTGTGATGGATCTTGACTCACAAACAGAGACAGAATTAACACAGGCAAGTGAAAAGGTGTCTGCCTCCAGCTGCCCATCTCCTGTGGAGACTGCTGTTCTCCACGCAGGAGCAAGGCAGCCACCTGGGGACAGCTCCTCATCCACTGCCCAGCACAATCAGGTCAAAACACAACCCACACCCGTTGACTTTGACACACAGTGCTGGAAACCACAGCAATACAGGAGCTGTTTCACTCGTGGTTTCTGCCCTCGGGCTGAAAACCTTTGAAAGAGGGACAGGGTAGGCAGCTGGAGGCATGAAATTTTTTCAGTGTCTCAGCTTAATCAGTTACCACTCATGTTAACAGGCCATGCTCTAACAAGTTTCAGATGTGATCACCTCCAAGTATACCTAGGATGTCTTCAGTGCAGAACTAAGAGAACAGAAGCATCTTGTTCTGACAAAGCTTGGAAACAAAGAGCCAGAGCTGCACCTGTATAGAACTTACTGCATCCCCATCTGTACTGGGCTTCCCAGCTAAGCCTGGGACTGCTGGCCAAGCTGCTCTCACCACCACTGGCTGAGAGGTGAATCTGTCTGTCCTCCCAGGGGCACAAGGAGAGTCAAGGACTATCAGTATTTGAGGGACTTAGTTACTGTCCCAGGGGCTTCTGCTACCAGCTGGTGAGAAAGCTGAACTCGGGCTGTAACCTACAGTCTAAGGAGATGCTCTCATCCTTGGCTGAACACGTTGCTGTGGTTGGTTGTGAGAGGTTCATGTGTGGGCAGGAGGAAGATTCATGACTGCAGCAGGGTAAAAGCTTTGGCTAGCTCTCCCGTGAAGACCAACTTTAAAGATTTATAAGGGTTAAATAGACAAATTTCAGAGAAATTTAATCAACACTGATGAAAATTAGTAGTTTAATATACTTAATGTAAGCATGCAAACCTCATGTGGGTTAAAAAAATGGGGGAAGGATGCTACCATCCATCCACACTAACAAAAAGGATGCACTTAGGTCTCACCTTGCCAGCTCAGCTTCAGCTTCCTCCTGTCACCCACACACTTACAAGGGAACCTGCATTTACCACCGTGTTCAAAGCACTCTCCACTCTACCTAAAAAGATTTCCTGCATATATGATCAAAATCATGAACAACAACTAAAAAATTGCTACTTTGGCACTGGGTCTTGAAAAGGTGGAAGAGAAATCAATATAACTATACCTTGGAGATAAATAAGCTACTTGAGAATATTTCAGCTAGATATGAAAACTGAAAGCCTAATCTGAAACTCAAAATGGTAGACAGAAAGCACACTTTCAGAGCCCAAATGGACAGACACACACACACTCTAAAAGAAAACCAATTTTGTTCACCGTATGTCTCTGGCCCTGACATTCATTAGTATTTCTGCGCTAACTCAAAAGCCATTAATTTCTCTGAAATCCACACTAATCCCTTTGTAGTGCAGATAATGGGCAGCCATTCTAGAGTCATCTTCCCTTTCTATTAATCCAATCAGGGAAGCAGTGCTTCTGCAGCTCCAACTGCAATCTCTCTCGCTTCCATCAAGTACAGATGACAGTTCAAGCTTCTCCATAATAAGACAACTCGTAACCTTCCCCCAGCCACCCCTCCTTCATCTGCACACAGGTTTGCTCCTCTTTTGTTGAGTTAGAGAAAGGCTATCTCTCCCTGCCTGTCACAGAGGCACCCCTCTCTCCCTCCTTCACCCCCTTCCTCCCCAACAAGCTCCTGTGAATCCGCTCCACTGGCTCCTCTTCTGAGACAGAACCAGCGGCCAGCTTGATTAAAAATTCAAATGCCTCATATTGTTTAGGTCAGGGCAACAGATGATGGCAGAGGCAGGTTGAATCCATATGCTGCACATCCATACACACCTTACAACCCTCAGCTCCTTTATCTCTTCAATGTGCAGTGTGCCAGATAATACCTTTCCACTCAGAGAGCAAATGCTACCATCTCACCATCCACCTTCCCAACAGAAACTGCATCTCTTTCTCCCTACAAAGACAGGGAGAGTAAATTGTGCAAGAGTGAAAAAAGGAAAATAATCACAGTAAATGGTCCGTGCCTGAGCCATTTGGAGTTACAATTCCAAGGGAAGAGGGGGAAGATGGCAGAGGGGAACAAAGAGAGACTCAGCAGCTGGGAACAGGGCAGTATCTTCCTCAGCGTCTCTCCTCTCCTTTGGGAACTACCCACTTGTCCCAGCTAGGAACCCCAAACTGAGCACACACCTACCCCTCTGCACGCTTAGCAGGCACCTTTGGGAGCTAAAATGTGCTCAATGGGCTCGTCACCTGCTTGGTGGGGTTTGCTAGATCAAGGGCAAACTGTGCCTCAGCCAGTGCGACTCAGATCCATAATGTCCACTTCCTTCCTACTTAGAAATAGTCTTTTCTTCCCACCTATTTTCCCAGCTGGCTCTCCAGGTGTATCTTTCAGGCAAGTATATCTGATTCCACTTGGCCCTGAAATAATTCCACTGGTATTTAGCCACAAATTTCCAGCAGATGGCTGTCCTGGAGCCAAATCTGGCTCCTTCTCCCAGTGCCACCTCTTTGCAAGTGACCACTACAGCAAGGGGACTGATAACTAGGTAGCAGTTTGCATTGATTTATATAAAGAGAAGGGCATTCACTCTTCTTCATCTTCCTCAGACTTATGGAAAGCAAAATCTGCTTTGAAAAAGTTGAACTTGCAAACTCTTGATTTTAGATTTATGTACTGCTAGTGAGGTTGGCTTAGCTCTTCACCAAAACCAGGCTCCTCACTGAATGAGCTGCTGAAACAGAAGTATAAAGAACCTGAACAAGTCATTCTCCAGCCTTTCCCTTCAGATGTGACATTGTATGAGAAACTCTACTGAAGCCTACAGGATCCTGGCTGCCCATCCACTCCATCCAACCCTTTTTGCTCATCTGCAGCAAGTCAAACCCTCATATAGAGTCTGCTGAGCAGACCCCCAGCACCCTGTGTGTACTGACACAGTGCCTGTGCCAAGGGGTACTGGAGAAGGTGGCTGGATTCAGTCAAAATGCAAGACCAACAAGAAGAGGACTCAGGTCTGGCAGAGAGAGAAGTATACTGTGTTAAAAGAGATGTTTACCTGCTACCAGCTAGGAGATGTGTGAAATAGCAGCAGTTGCAAAAGAAGCAAGAATATCAAATGAAGATGGGTTTGCTGATTTTTTTATAAATTCACCTCATTCATCTTTAAAAAGAAGAAGAAAGGGTATAAAGTGACTGTCAAAGCTATGAAAACAGGGTCAGTTCACATTAAGAGAGTTAGCTGACACCACTATGGGAATGATAGCAACTAAACTGAAAATTCAGTTATGAAAGTCATCACAACATCACTGGAAGCAATCAGCACTGCCCCAGGAGACAAAAACTCTGATCATTAGCTTCACAGAGTGTCATAACTGCAGAGCAAAAAAGTCTCCATGAAGAATAACCCTCAGAACCAAACTCATCAGTGCTGTTTACTGTAATCCTCCTGCACTGTGAATTAATCCACTGTACCTGAGCAAG